TTTATCATTTTTCTTAATTTAATTTGCTTATTATAACTTGGTCATCCTTTTCTAGATACACAAGCACCAGTGGTCCCATACTGGCGCTTGCCTGGTTTGGGCATTATCATCTATCTACTGAAACAGAGCACTAATGATTTCTTCAGTTATTATGATAGCCATCGTCAGAGTGTTAACAAACTGCAAAATGTGGAGCAACTCCCACCAGATGAAATAAAAGAGGTAACATTTGTAACATCTGCTGACTTTGTGGGGACTGTGTTGCTTGTAACGCATACAGCTATACCAAGGACTCTGAAGTATCTTAGATCAGTAGTTCCAGTTATTTTGCGTGGTCCTTTCTGCTGTTGATAGAAGGGACCATAGAATGGGTGGCATAAAATTGATGGGGGGTAATACTGGACTTGTTGAGTGATTTTTCATTATGTTGAAGAACCATTGTTAACACTTTGGGACTATTCATCCTGTTTCTCCTTGGCTAAATAGATGCAACTTGTATAGTGTTTAGTAGCTGTAGTAGCTGTAACTCCTGCATCAGACCTTGGGTTACAGATGACAGGGTTGCAGAGAGAATGAGTACTTCATACAGAAACACTGTCACAGTGAACGAGTAAACTGAATGATAAACCAAATGATCGTTTTTCTTGACAGATAAGTTGCTTGAGGATACAGTTAATTTATTCATATTTTGGCAAGCGAGGTTATGCAAGTTAAAATTAAAGTGTAGACTTTTGAAGAGATAGCTGATCAACAGTAAGTTCTAGATACTGGTAAATAATTTTATTTGCTTATTTCTTTCATTATTCTTTCCTTCTGTTCTGACTTGCTATAATTTTCTTTTCTCCTCTTCTTGTCACAGCTGTGTCAATCAGTTATGCCAGCTGGAGTTGATAAAATCTCTACTGCCCAAAAATATGTTTTGGCAAGGCGACGTCTAGTGAAGCTAATAAACAACCAAGCCAAGCTGCTTTCTCTTTGTTCTTGTATCCTTCTGAAATTGAAGTTAACCTCAAAGTAATTCCCTCCAAAAATGCGGGGAAATAGGAACAGGTTATTTTAACCTAGATTTCTGACAACGCTGAACAACACATCATACAAAAGGAAAATTTGAAATACAGAAACTTAAAATAGTGCACACTGTTGTGCTACTTTCAGGCTGTAAGTATTTTTTAATTAGTACTGTGACTGGAAGATGAGGTCAGTAATAATTCCCATCATAGAGACACCCTTACTAGGATTTTTCTTAACAATAATCAACGCATCATCATAATTATTATTGCCAATATTATTGCTGTCCAGCTCTTAAATTTAGTATCCCGGCCCACTAGATATGTACACATGTGTACAAGTGTGCTGGCAAAAATTCTCTGAAAAATAATTCAGATGCTCATGAAAGAGACTGGAGTTCCCAGTGTTACAGTGAATTGTACATAAGCTTTTTCTAGTGAATACCAGTAATTCTTTGAAATAACTAGTACTGCACAAAATGATTGTTGCAGAGGCTCAGAATTTTCCCCTGAAATCTAGCTTAGGAAAGGTGTGCACTTGCAGCTGTGTACCTTTTGTACCTGTCTACCTTTTGTAGCTGGTACAGCCGCTTCCAGCTTTACGACCTGAGCTTTAACACACTGCTGCAACTGAACTACCATTACAAGTACCATTACATTCAGTCACAGTCATTTGAACTAGTCTAGCCAGTACGGAAGCAGGTAAGGATGCATGTGATCCATTCCAGGCCCTCATTATCAGCTGTGGGAGTGGGAACCTGCTGCTGGAGGAAATTACAGTGGCTGAGATAATATCTTCAGCTGCTTCTAAATGGTTGTGTAAATATGCTTATATAGTAAATGTACAATCTAAAGACAAACTCAAACTCCTTCACTTAGAGATGTGTCAACAGATATTATAGAAACATGTCTCTTCATTCTTTGGCGTCATCTGGAACACTATCTGCTGAATTACACACCCACTGACTCCCAAGACTCATTGCTGTCTTCCAGAATATCATTTAAGAGAGGAAGACTGCAAGGTAAAATTTCTGATATGTCAAGATGCCTTTGAGTTAAACTGATGGTTAAATTTAAAACTGATTCATTACTACTAATGTTTTGCTATTTATATTTAATAAAGAGGTTGTTTGGATTTAGATATATGTTTGGACTTGCCTTGGAAGAATTGACAGTACATGTATTGTTCAGCCACAGACTTTGGAGTGTTGTCTATTACACACAATCTTCAAATGAACTGCTATTTTATTTATGTTGTTCAAACAAAGTAAAGTTCAAATAATGAAATCAGACCGGTGATCCAAAATGATGCATATGAAAACATTGTAAACAAAGAGAAAATGAAGAACTAGAATGGAGACTGGTGTTTTTGAAAGCGCTTGTTAGAATTGTAGGCACTGTTGATTTGACAGAATGTGTTGAATTTTGATAGAAGTCGGAAAGATTAGTGACTCGAGGAGGAACTTTTTGCTTAAGGTTCCAGGTTGTGTGATCATGGCTGCATAGAGAAAATATGTTAAGTCAAAAAATTACTTCAATTTCTGATACGCAAGTTTAGTGACAAATTTTGAGTACTGCATTTTGAAATCATTTATGACGGTGTGGAAAAATGATGGTGTTGAATAGCCAACATAATTTTAACCTCTTATTTTCTATCACTAGGTTCTTTTGGTTCAGAGTCCAGCTTGGATTTCAGCAGTGGACTGAATCGAGTGAGTCAGCATGATATAGATCAGGTGAGATGTCACAGTCTACTGAAAAATACAGAATGCACATTGTTATTGAGCAGAAATTGAGCAGACTGTAAAGTGTGAGTATTTACAACAGAATCGATTTATTCTTACACAGAAATTTAATAGTCTGTGTTAACTGGGTGCAAAAGCAGCAGAAAAAAAATACCATTTTTATTAAAAAATTCCATTGACATTTCTGCTGCTGTTTGTGCACAAAAAAAGAGTCTGTTCAAAATCTTTTGCAATCTCAAGCACCTTTATAAGAAAAAGTTTTGTTTAACTCCTAAAGATTGTAAAGTATTGTGAAAAAGCTGATAGATGTTGACAGGTGATGGATAAACACATGTTCTAGAATGATAAAATTTTGTATTGTCGACTGAAACAAATCTCTGTTTCTCAGCTTCAGATTGAAACCACCAACAGTTTTGGTGAATCCCTACAGAAGAAGCTTCTGGACATTGAGGGGTTATACTCTAAGGTTCGGTCACGTTACACCTTTATTCAAGCCCTTGTGAGACGTATCCGTGGTCTCCTAAGGATATCAAGGACCTAAAAGACTGATACATGAAGCTTGCCCCTTGAAGCAGCATGTCTGGGCAGGCTTTCTGATCATCGGATTTTATAAATGACACATTTTCTAAACAATGTCCAAAAAAAAAAAAAGCATTTTTGTTACCTTTTTTTTCTTATCCCTTTGGATCAGTTTTGTGCATTCTTTCTTACTGCTCCCAACTTGAAAAATAAAGAATCATTTTTAAGTGAGTTCTGATTAATATAAGAACTAAAGCAAGAAAGAATCCAAATGGAGGACATAAAGGAAATGAAAGCTGTTGTTCTGTGACTGTGATGATACCATATTTATGGATGCTCTCAGAGAAAAGGGAAAGGTTTGTTTGTTCATGCTGTTCTTGCTTCACACACGTTTAATGTGATCGGACTCTTCGATATGGATTTTATGAGAAAGGTGATCATTTTTACACTGTAAGCTGCTTGTTTATCTTCCCCATTGCCCTGCCTTTTTTCAGCTGACATGGATACAAACTTCCTCTCTTTGAAGAACTCTAGGTACAAGAAAAAAAAACATGAGGAAAGGCACAGAAGGTGACAGCCATAGATTATGTTCTTACAGCTTGGAGAGCTGAAGATTTCTGTGCTGCTTCAGCAGGAACAGGAGTACAGCAACAGAATACAGCGCTTGAAGAGGGAGCAGGCAGGTTTGAGTAGCAGATTGGTTCTGTAGGTAGACAGAGATTATTCTTAGAAGAGATTTTCATATCTCATTGTCTCTTACGTAAAAAAGAACATGAGACTGTGTGGATTTCTTACTACATTGTCTGATCTTACAGCTCACTTCTCTGCATGTGCCTTGTGAATTGTATCCTGAGCTGCCACTATGTAGTGGCATTTTATTTTATACTTCACATAATTAATGTGTGCTGATATTATCTGTCACACAGGGCTGGTTGTTCCCTGTTGTCAGATAAGAGCTGTTATCTGTTTTCTAAGAATTGCTGGCTATTAATGATTTACAGAGCTGCCTTTTGCCTGATGGTTCACAGCGTTTTTGTTCATCTATTCATCAGTGAGAATCAGGAAGCACTGTATTTAATGAGAAAGCCTGTGCTGGAACTAATATGGGGATTGTGGTGGCTCAGACATCACGCAGAGCTGTGTGGAACGCTGTTTGTGACGGGTACTACTTCCACCGCCATTTTACACAGCGCAAGTCTGCAGCGAATCCCACAGGGACTCGGATGTTGTGTGTTTATTTGGTCACAGCGGGAACGATCAGCGCGGATACACCTGCACTTGTACCGCCATGGACACATGGGGCACTGAGGGCTGGGGGGGGGGGGGGGGGGGTGCCGCCCCGCCCCCCCCACCGCCCTCGTTTCCGCGCACGCTGCTTCCGCACCAGCAGATTCGTCACTTTTCCTCGTCGGCCCGCTTTATTAATTTTTTTCTTATTTCTCCTTCCTTTTTCCTCCCGTCCTGTGTACTTCCGTATCAGGAGGGTTAGGGTCGCCCTGCGCTCTGCTTCCCCTTCTTGCTTGCAGGCAGAGCCCGTCCCGCCCCCGTGTCGAAACGGCGAAGCGGGGTGGGGAGAGCGCCTCCTTTACTCGCCGAGGCGCGCGACGTGGAGCTGCGGGCAGGCAAGCGGTGGCGCTGACAGGAGCGGCAGGGCGGGCAGGGCCCGGCGCAGCGGCTCGACATGGGTGAGGGCGTCGGGGCAGGGGTGCGCGGTGGGCCGGGTTGTGCTTGTAGAGCGGAGCGGTGAGGGAGGCGGAGACGCCGAATGTAGGGGTTGGGCGATTCGTGCGAGTCTAACCTACACGGACGTGGCGTTTGACCTGCATTTTCGTGTGGCAGAACGGCGTGAGGGTGGGCCGAGCGGGGAGCTGCGTGCCGCTTTCTGCCGGTGGAGCTCACGGCGCCGTTCCGACCCGGCGATGGGTGCTGGTCGGCGGGGTGACTTGGTGAGCACCCGAAGAATTGCGCTTCGTTTGAAGGAAGGAGAAGCAGGTGGTCCCGGGAGAGACCGTAGGCGTCAGAAGGAGTCCTTTCTTGTGCCGCAGTGTCCTTGTGTGGTGGTCTCTGGCTTTGACAAGGCAGAGGCCGATGCAAACAAAGGAGGAGATGGCTCAGATTTTGGCAAATGAGAAAACTAACCGCGATGAGGAAGCTCGATGCTTCTGCAAGCTTCGTTGTGCTAGGGAGATTTGTGATAAAATAATTGCATGAGGCCATGAGAGAAGGATGTGGTTCAGCACTCAGAACTTGCCTTTTTTCTCTGAATGTAAGAAATGTGCTGCTGTTCAGTAAGAAGGACAGTCTCTGCTTTGCCAGCTGACGTAGAGGTGGCTTTCTGTTCTGCTTTTATTTTTTGTAGGGGGCTTTTTCTCCACCATCTTTTCCAGTTTGTTTGGAACTCGAGAGATGAGGATTCTCATCCTGGGGCTGGATGGAGCTGGAAAAACAACCATCCTGTACAGGTTACAAGTTGGTGAAGTTGTTACCACCATTCCAAGTAAGCAGTCGGTCCGTTACTAAATGCAGCTGATTTGTTAGCTCTGGTATGTCATCTTTGTCAGCTGAACTCTCACGTGCTTACTTTGTAAACAAATGCACCTTGTATTGTTGCAGCCTGGCACTTACGTTTAAGAGCTTTCTCTTACGCTCTTATGGTGTGCTATAGAAATACAAGGAAAAGGTATCTTTTATGCTGCTCTACTGAATGCAATAAGTACTTGACCTCAAGGTTATTAGTATGATTGGTAGGCTTCTCTAACTAGTAGCTATGGAGCGTTGAATCTTTTTCTCTCTAAATATAGCACTAGTGTGAATTCTAGAGTTTGTTGTTATTGTACATAGCAAATTTTACATAGGATAGCATCAATGAGTCACACCTATTTAATTTAAGGGATGTGGTTTAGTGGGGAAATATTGGTGGTGGGTGGACTGTTGGACTGGGTGAATTTGGAGGTCTTTTCCAACCATGGTGATTCTGTGATTCTCACTTCTTGTTACTGACAAGGGTCTTAACTTTGTTATATAAACACTTCTCTTTAACACAGAAAACTACCTGCATTTCTTCTTGTCTTCCACATTCTGTAGAAAATGCCATCTTTCAGATATCACGATATAAAGCCTTCTGCTGAGAAGCAATCTCTAATGTGTTCTTTCAAGGCCACAGATCTGGTGTTGACATGTAGGATATGTTCCTTAGCATTCTACTGCTGTCAGTTGTTGGTTATCAAAGCAAGCTGCTCCTTTAACTGCTACTTTGTTTCCTTTGACGCTTTCAGGCACACTAATACTCATTTATAACAACTTTAGCATTTGTTGGCAGGTCTCTATAATATGTTTATGATGCATTATTTTCAGCCATAAATGCACGTTGGAGTGACTTCTCAAGGGATGTGAGCATCACCATGTTGCTCGTGAGGAATTTTTAGGCGTGATGATTTTAAACTAAGTGTATTTCAGGAAAAGAAAAAGGAAGGATCATCAGTAAAATTGTGTAATTTTGTTTCAGCAATTGGCTTCAATGTTGAAACAGTGACATACAAGAATCTGAAATTTCAAGTTTGGGATCTGGGAGGACAGACAAGCATAAGGTAATGTGTATCTACAAATAAAAAGATGTCATCAAATTTCAGTAAAAAGTGCTTGCAAAGTTCTTAGAATTCTCATAGCTGTCTGTTCTGACAGTTGTTTCCTTTGAGTTTAAACTCAGTGACAAGAGGGCACTTTTGTTTGATAGGGTTCTGTTACTACCACCTCTGTTTTGGATTACAAGTGAATTAATTTCACTGGTTCTGCTTTGAAAAGCTAGTGTACTTGTGTAGCATGGAACTAGGCAGAATTCTGAACATTTATATTTAAATTTCATATTTTTAAGAGTGCAAAGCTATAAGATGATATTTGAACATAGGCAATAATTTTTTTGAGTAGTGAGCTTTGAGTTTTTTAACAAACCATTCCATGTATAATTGTAATGGTTTGTGCAGGACCCCTGTGTGCCTTCCTCAGGATTACACTTTGAACACTGCTCAATAAGGGGCAGTGCTAATTTCCTTTTTAGCTCCAGTAGTCCTGAAAAAGATGGTTATGACCCTCAGTAATTACGTACCTCTATGAATTAGCTCTTTAAAAAAGCTCATCTTAGTTTTTGCTGGTGATTATTTGTACCACTCTGGTCCTTTTTATAACCTCATGATGATAAGTTCTTTCTTTTTTTTTTTTTTTAACCCCAGAGAGAGTTGTTACTTCCTCTGGTTGGCTTTTCGTTATGTGGCTGTAGAGTACTGCTAAACCTTCAAATGGCTTTTTTGTCTTCTGCAGGCCATACTGGAGGTGTTACTATTCCAATACAGATGCAGTCATTTATGTAGTGGACAGCTGTGATCGAGACAGGATTGGCACTTCAAAATCGGAGCTTGTTGCTATGCTGGAGGTAAGAAAATGAGAACAATGATGGTTGTATCAGTAAAATGGAAATGAAGTGTTACAGTTCTTGGAGCAGGTGTGAAACTTGATTCAGTGGTATCACGTTTGGTTGTGAAGCTTCAGCCCTCAGAACAGGCCCATGCAGCACTTCTAACTGAAGCAAGCTCAATGTACTGTAGGCATTTTATACTTCTGCACAGTAATTCTCTGGACAGTAGGTTACATTTAGCCTCTTGGTCGCATGAAAACTTGCCTTGCCTTGCATGAAAACAAGGGCAGCTGCTCGGTGCATCAGTGGTAGAAAATCAGGCCCTGAAGGAATTCCAGTGGTGTCCTACTGGGCAGTGAAGCTGAAAAAAGTGCATGGAACAGTAATAAAGGGAAGATGTGTTAAGTGCTATAAGCTTTTGAATAGTATGCCTTGTTAAATCTGCCTCCTGTTTACAGAGTGCTGCTATGTTATGAAATTTGCCTTGTTTTGAAAGTGCTTCTATGTGACGTGGGAGCAAATGGAATTCAGAATAGGTGTCATTCTTTTGGTAATGCACTAAAATTGGCAAGCTGGAGGAGGGCCATGATAGAAGCTGCTTTTTGTCCTACAGGTTTTCTCTGCGTAAATAAATTTAGTTTAAAAATCCTGGCAAACAGTTTGGCATGATTCTCATTTCTTAGGAAGAAGAATTGAAGAAAGCCATTTTGGTGGTGTTTGCAAATAAGCAGGACATGGAACAGGCCATGACTCCCACAGAAATGGCAAACGCACTGGGATTACCAGCACTGAAGGACAGAAAATGGCAGATATTCAAAACCTCTGCTACTAAAGGCACGGGGCTTGATGAAGCAATGGAGTGGTGAGTAAAAATCTGGTTGTTAGCTTCATTAGTGAGGTGTCTTTTAACACATCATCTTTCGTAAAGAAGAAAGATGGAAAGTCTGATGTAAAAGCAAGGTATGAATTAGAGGTTTGCAGAGCTTCCTTGTACTTGTGAGAACAGAAAGATGAGCGTTTCAGGACTTGCCTGTTTGCAGTGCCCTCTAACTAGGGCTGTATTGCTCCGGGCAGTCATCTTAAAACAAGAGCCCACATGAGTAGAAAGGATAACTTACTCCTAAAGGTGTCCTGGCATCTCTGAAATGATTTTTCAATAAACTGGTTTACCCTTTTTCCTAGGTTGGTGGAAGCCTTGAAGAGTAGACAGTGATACAAAACTGACAATTGCCAAGAAGTTTCAACTACATCCAGCATCCCTCTTTCTGCAGTCAAGTATGGTCAGGCCACAAGTACTTGTAAATAGGGCAGGTTTGCATTTGGGTCATGTAATGTGGATGCCTCTCTTCAGCTAGAAAACTGAACCAAGTGGATGTCTGTGTACATTATGATCTTCATTTTCTTTCTTTGTGTTTAAAGATGTGCTTAATATTTGTATGAAAGTTTTTCTGGAGGGCAAAGGGATTTATATATTCTTTTTCCATTCACTGGGTAGTTTGAAGTTGGTGTGGTTACTCTATTTGTGTAATTAAAACACTAATAAAATCCACAATGATCAGCTGTACTCCCAGGTGCGTTGCTTGCTTGCAGAAGCAGAGTTCTGCTGCAGCCAGTTGTAACAGACACGTGGCTGAACATTGCAGGAGGTTTCCTGAAGCTGATGTTGTTATGCTTCAGTATCCCTCAGTGCAGGTACAGTTACACTGAAGTACAGCTGTTAACAACAGTACCTGTTAACATAGCATCACTTCTTGTTTCTTCAGTAGCTGCCTGCTGCCCTGATGTGGCATGCCCATAACTCAACTCCCCCCTTTCTATACTCTGCCTTTCTATACTCTGTGCTTAGCTGCAAATGAGTCAGCTTTCTCCCTACAGCTGTGGAAGCTGAAAGACAAATCAAGGTCGATGCAGTCTGTTTTCTCCAGAAGGTGGGAGGGGCACAGGCATGAATGCAGTCATCATATAACCCATCTTTTAAACAAGAAGTAAAAATTCAGTGTAAAAAAACAGACTGGTTGTCCAATGAACTTTACATGATCTAACAAACATACAGGTTTTGGAGAAAAAATAAAACAAACCCTTAAGCTTTATTTAAAAAGTTTTTATTTAAGATCACAGATTAAAAAGAAGACATGGAAAAAATACAAATAAATACAATTAGAATATTTACATATTCTTTTTTTTTTTTTCCCCAACAGTATTGGCTTGAAATTCATTTTTACAAATTAATCCTCTGGGAAGGAAAAGACTTTTCATTCCACCATTGCTAAGTCTTTGAGTGCATGACTGCGATGTTTCTTGGCCTTATAGCTGGGGCGCAGGAATTCTATTTTTCTCTTCCTTGTTTCTGCTTTATTCTTGTGTCTCTTCAGCTTCCTCCTTGCAGCAATGTCAGGGTTTGCCACAGTCTAATGAAAAAGAATATGTTTGTTCAGTTAAAACTGTAAACGTCAGACAGTTCCCAAGAAATGAACACCTGACAGGCAGTGCACGACCTCCAAGGCTTCTCAAAAATGAGGGTCTTTCTGGCTGCTGGAGCCACATTTATTGCTGCTCTTCACGTAACCTAATCAGCAGGGCACTGGGATCGGACAAAACCTGCCCACAGGTTTATTTAGCTTAAATAAAACCACAGCATCATAGAACATCCCGAGTTGGAGGAGCCCCCAACAATGATCAAGTCCTAGCTCTGCACAAGGCCAAGGAGCGTTCTCCAACTGCTCCTTGAACTCTGGCTGCTCAGGGCTGTGACCACTGCCCTGGCAAGACTGTTGCAGTGCCTGATCACTTTCTCAATAGTTTCTTGTTTTCATTTCACAAACTACCGTAATTCAGGATTCTTCAGGATTCATTCTTCTTCACACTCATCTCCCTGATAAGCTCTCAAGCCTTTAGAAAAGCCCTGTTTTCCTTTTCCCAGAAGAGGAAGCAGAATAAACTTACCTGCAAAGCCCTCTGCTTTTTCCTCATAGCTCTTTTCTGATTGGCCTGTTTCTGCACAGAAGAAAAAGCAAGCGAAAAAGCCTCCAGACCGACTAATTTCTTGAGCAGTTCTATAATTTCTTGGGAAAGGTTCTTCAGTGTTGGATCTAATAAAACAAAATAAACTAGCTTAATCCTTTCAGCATATAGAGCAAAAGCCAAGAACCCAATAGGGAATTACCCCTTTTACTGAAGACATTCCTACTGATGGATCTTGCCCAGTATTTCTGCAGGCACAGATCCAAAGACAGAATCAGAGAATCACCAAGGTTGAAAAAGATCTCCAAGATTATATCTAGTCCAACCACCACCTTCCACCAGTATTTCCCCACTAACCCTGTCCCTCAGTACCATTTCCACATGGTTCTTGAGCACCTCCAGGGTTGGTCACTTCCCCACCTCCCTGGGCAGCCTGTTCCAATACCTGATCACTCTTTACAAGAAGAAATTTTTCTTAACATCCAACCTGGACCTTGTCTGGCACAACTTAATTTAAGAAATATCTGCTGGTTCTCTACCAGCCTTCCCAGAGGGCTACAAGTAGTGCTTCATGTGCTGACACAGAAAGCAAGAAGTTCATCTTTCTTTACCCTCTCACACCATTGCCAATCTCTTCTACACATTTTGAACTCATCTAAAAAATGATGGCCAGTCAGTTGTTCCTTACCAGAACCCCATTACTGCCCTTCTCCTTTTCTCCAGTTCTTTTGTATCCTTTCTAGAGATGCACAACATACTTTCAAGGCATATGTTACTCTAAATGTATTGCTTTATGGCCTGTGCCTATCCTGACACTAGATTTGCCCGACTTAAAACACTCTCATGAACAATGAAAGATTGTTCTTAAGTCAGGAGTCCATTGTGGGAAATTAGTTGGTCTTTCTCCACCCAGCATCATTTCATACAGGCCATATACACACATTTACTGCTCTGCAATCTTTGCTCTCATTTTCCTCATTATGTACCTTCAGGTTTCCTTAAGAATTCTAAATAAACACGGGTCCCCAGAGAGGAACCAGAGTTTCTGCTTAGACAAAGCGAGTGGAGCAGAGTGACCTGGACTCATTCTGGAGGGTGAAATTCAATAGGTGCACGCCTGCCTGCACACACAGCATGCATCATTCCTGTAGCAGACAGCTCTCCTCCCCTCACTGCAGCATTTGTTCTCTTTCAGTCACTGTACACGCGTAACACACACTGAAGTTCATTTTCAGGATGCTCTATTTCAAAAGAGCTCCTAATCCTCACAGCAGACCTTAATATGGCAACAGAAAAAGAAAGACACTTGGCTGCAGCTTCTCTGAGACCTGCTCTGCCTTCCTCCCCTTGCTGAGTAGTCAATCCTGCAGCCATGAGTCCACCCTTGAGCGCTATACTTCTTCCACATAAGCTCAAGCTTTATCCACTTGTGTGCAGGAGCCTGCCTAACACCAGGACTTTGTCAGCATATGCATTTTTGTTCAAGCTGTCATACATTCTCCTGCTCTCCTGATATTTTGGTTAAACTGCAAGTAGGTGAAAATTCACTGTTAAAGGCATCTATTCCTCAACAGAGGAAAAGGATGACAGGAGGAGTTCATGATGAAGGATATCACTTACCTTGCTCTGCATAGGTGCTGTTCAGCTCCCTGTACAGAGGAGTGAGGACTGTTGCAAGGTACGGCTTGATTCTGTCTTTCCCCAGATCCACTGAGATTGCTCCGAGGAACTTAAAGATGCAGCTCCTCTGAAAATGAGTGCATGGAACACAAAAGCAGGTAAGAAAGAAACTGCCTAAGTGAGCAGCTACAAGAACATGTGCACCGCATCTCAATGTACAAGGCATTTCAGACAGCTGTCAGAAATTCACTGCTGGCATAAGGTCTCAGTGCAGTTAAGCACAGCCTTCAGATAAGACACAGCTCCGTGGGATCTGTAAATGTGCGAGCTCAAACTTCACTTGTTAGCTGGTAACATTTTAAGAAGAAGCTTGTTCTGCCACTGTCCTGTACTAGGGTAGCTGAAGATATGAAAGTCTCAGCCTTTCCCTCTGCATCACAGGGAATCACAGTGTTTCTTCTGTCACTCACATGGCCTCCCTTCTCCTGACAATTCCACACTGACATTCCCCCGTCCACATAAAAATAGCACTGTCAAGCTTTTAAAGCATGCATGTCCAACCTGCTAGCTTTCTCATTTGGTCGCCTCTTCTATTGTTTTAATAAAAACCAGAACAAAATAAGTTTTGGTACCTATATACGTGAACTATGTTACATGTTTTATACATAGTCCAAGACAATTCCTCTTCACTCAATGCGGCCCAGATAAGCCAAAAAATTGGATACCTATATTTTAAAGGCAGCACTCTGTCCCTGCACACTGGTGGCCTTTGGCTTCCCACCTTTTCACCACCTGGAAGCAACAAAGCAGAAGCAAACTGGTGGAAGGCCTTCCTGAGAATCCCAACCTGAAATACCTCTGGTAGCAAAGAGTCTATGCAAGTGCTTGTTGCATTAAACTGCTGGTTTAATCTTGCTCTCACCTTTAATGGGATCTTGGGGGAATATGCTGCTTCTCGCTTTGCCATTAGAGAGAGCTTCTTCATCAGCCATATCAACGTGACTGGCCGACCCTTCTCTTCTGTGTCCTCTCCTTCTCCCTCTCCTTGAGCAGAAACATCTTTCTCTTCCTCATCTTCAGAAGCCTCCTGCTCTTCCACCTCACAGCCAAGTTCTCCTTCAGCCTGTTCACCTTCCTCCGAGGGAGGTGCAAGCAAGTAAATAACTTTGGCAACAAACAGCAAATTCTTTATAACCTGAAATGTGAAAACAGAGCAGTCAGTCACTGGGGGTTCCCACAGTGCCAGTACCAGCAGTGACCAAAGGTAGCCAAGAGCCAACATTAAGTCTAAAAAAGTAACTGGCCATAAACTGGGTTCAATTCCATGCCACAGGATGGTGCACCGTGGAGTCAAACCTTCAAGCAACAGCGTAAAGCTGGGCTGAATACTCCCAACAAGCAAGCAGCCAGGACCTCAGTGCTGCAGCAGGGAGACAGCACCAGAGATCTGGCTGCCTGCTCAGGGTCTGGCTGCCCTTCTCCATAGAGAGGCCAGACTCTCCCTGGGCAAGGGCTGGACAGAAGGAACTCCTGTCTTGCTCTGCATGGTGCCCAAAATGTCTGTTTCCCCCCCCCCCCCCCCAGCCCTCACCCTTCCAGCAGACTGACACCAGATCCCTGAGCAGCACTTCTGTCCTGACCAGGAGGTGACACTGCCTCATGTGCCCCCACCACAGCCCCAGACAGGCTGCTGCTTCTACCTGCTCTCCCAGAGACTGGTCCAGGAACTTGGAGCGCAGCTGATGGCAGAATGCAAACACAAGTTCCTTCACCTGGTGGGACAAAACAGGGAAGGAATTGTTGCATGAGAGAAGCCAGCAGCAGAACCCCACAGCAGCGTTGTGCAGTTACCAAATGTGGTTCCCAGGGAGGCCAATGAACTGGCTCAGCACAAGTTTTGCCTGCATCTTGCAGTCCTGAAGGGAATCTGTGTTTTTCAGAATAAGACCCCAGAGAAGCCCCCTCCCACCAGCACAGACACCT